CCCCCCCCCCACTAACCCACCTCCCATTCTCCACGCCCACGCCCGGAAAGCAGTAACTTCATCTTATGGCTTTACTCTGACATCTATGTTTTTTCCTCGCTGTTTCCCCTCTGCTTTTCTCTCGATCCCTCTGACGCGTCCGCTTTACCCCACTCCCCCTTCTCTCTTTTGCTCAGACTGCCGTCGCCACTCTCTGTGTTGCACCCTGCCTCTCGCTAACTGTGTTTCTCTTTCTTTCTTTCTCAGCAGGAGGTACGTACCGTGGAGTGCACAGGCTGGGACGCCACCCGCGGTAACGTTTTGACACGCCTTGTAGGGCAGGCATCAGAAAGTAAATTTAAGGAGTTTCATCAGTAGTAGCGTTGTTCAGACGTTTAAGCGTGCGGCAATCTGATATGAAGCTTTAAACGGAAATCTCTGTATCACGACGTGAGGATCACGGCACGGTTTATAATCACTTTTCCATTCCTTTCGTTTCCATTATTTTCATTATACTTGTGGCGACGCATGGTGCATGGTGTTCACGTATATCAGAGCACCCAAAGAAGTGTGTTCTTCATAGAAGTTCATATTTTGGGTACTTGATTTTCTTGAGTCGATTACTCCTTACACAGGCAGAATGCACTCCAGAAAATCAGGTGACTAGTAAAGTTTTGTGCTGTTGTAACTTGCAAAGAAATTCTTTTGTATTGCTAAACTTCTTCTAGTAATATATTGACCAGTGCTAGGAATAAGTTCAGTATTACGAAGACAAATTTTAACAACATTAAAGGACTTCTTAGCAAGTTACAACAGCACAAAACGCCTAGTAGTAACTAGACAAATTTTCTAGTAAAAACTTAAGAGTGCATTTAATTCAAGAACACATTTTTGTGAGTGTGCGTAGAAGAAAATGAAAATAAGTTACGTAGTGCAGTATATAAGTAATTGAGTAGATTTTAACTCAACTTAGACAAGATCCACGGAAGTCAAAGAATACAAGACTTTACAGACTTTTTTTTTCTAAACAACCCTCGACGAGTGAGGCATCGGCGCTGCGTCCGGTTCGGTCCGGTTCGGGCAGTACCACCGACCGTGGCAGAGCTACGGAAGGAAAAAAACACAACCAGAAGTGGGAGCCGGAAGTGGATCGGATAGTGCCAGGGCAGACCGTGGTTGCGCTAGACTCTTTGCCGCTCCCATCCGCTCCGACACACGGAGAACAATGTGCTTCAGGAGGAGGAAACCGAGGGCGGGAGGGTGGAGGTATGGTGGGGATTGGGGGACATGGCGTAGCTTGGCGGGCATGGAAGGGTTCGAAGCAGACTTGGCAGCTGCCAGGCACTTTGAAACTGCAAAGTCCTCCTTCTCAAAGGTCGTCCGAGCAGCACGGGCGCATGTTACCGTGGTAACGCCAGGACCTAAGCGAGACTTCCAAGAAAAGAGGGTCGTGGAGGGAGCCGGGGCAAGTCACTTAGCCCTTGTGTAAGTGTGTGTACGCGTGCGTGCCCCCCCCCCCTCTTCTCCCCCTCCCTCTGAACCGCTGCTAGCCTTACTTACCCCCAAGGTGAAAAGCCTATTTTAGGGAAGGGGGGACAGAGGCTTTCCGTCCGTCTATAGGACCCCCTCCCCCTCGCCCCTCTAAGTGAGCTCCATTGTTTGGCGGTTTATCTTTGGTCCTCGCTGCTCGTCATGACGTCACAGGAGCCAGTTAGCGGGTGGGGGTCGGGCGTACAGGGGGAGCGACCGAGGTGGAAAGGAGGAGGGAGAGGGGGTGGGGGGCAGCTCGAGCCGTCACGGCCATGTCAGCCACCAATCAAATCCCCCGACCCACGACAGCGTGGTGCTCTTCACATCACACCGAGCTGCACTCTGACATACTGGCTGGCTGCACTCTAGCGGAGCACTCTAGAGGAGCACTTCTGACGATGCACTCAGGGGGGTAAGGGCACTCTCGCGCGGTGCCCTCTTCGCGAGGGGAGCAGCACTCTGACAGGGGTCGCTCTGGCGTTTGCACTACGTGGCGGCGGGCCAGTTGTTGGACGCACAGCGCACTTAGATCGACTGGCGCTGGGTCTAATGACTGCCTCGCCTGCCTTCTGCCTGCACCACCCCCACCCCTCCCCATGCCGTGCGCCACGCCAAAAAGCTTAGTCTAGCCCCATTGTCAACCTCAATTGCAGCGGCGTGCTGCTGAGGCCGCCGGCAGTTCGACCCCCCCCCCTTTCCCTCTCTTCTACTGTATCCGCCGGAACTACAGCAACTATGCTATTGAGTTCTGAGGAGAGGGAAGAATTGCGCCAGCCCATTGTGCGCGCCACCCACATGAGCCCCCCCCCCCCTCCACTTCCTCTTCCCGCCTCCGGATGTCGGAAGTCGGAAGTGGCCGGCGCTGCTGCGCGTCCGCCAGACACCCGCCGCCCCCGCTGCCTCCGCCGGGGAGCAGCTGCTATAAACTTCACAACAGCGTGTCGGCAGAGGAAATTCATGGCGATTGTTTTATGCAGGAGGCTGCTGCTCCTGCCAGCGCCCCCGCGACAAGGGGCGGGGATTACCTCTCCGAGAAGGGAGAAGGTACGGGCAGACGGCGCAGGCAGACAAACGTCTTCTTTGTTAATTTTCACTATATTTTTGGGGAGAATTCACCATTTACAATTGATGTTGTGAATTCCCGATCGGTTTCGTAAACTTACAGCAGATCATCTTTGCTCGTCGAGCAATTCGAAGTCAATATATATATCGTCATTTTAAATGAGATTTTGTAATGTTGCAATTCAGAACGAAAAAAAAAAGCATCACAAAATCTACAAATATTTGTTTAACCAGCTGGATGCAGGCAGACAGCCTCGAGAGCAAGAAGACTGTCCCGGCTGAGGTCTGAGGCCGGTGGCGCTTTGTGTAGTCGCGGGGCGCCCAGTGGTCGGTCGCACTTTGGCTCTCACGCACCAAAACAACCCCAAATATATAAAAGGGTAAAAGCATGAAGGCCCCGTGATGAGCGGGTCAGCCGCAGCAGCCCGGAAGGCAGAAGCCAGACCTGTTGAGTGGTCGGCCATTAGCCGCAGCAGCAGCCTTGGCAGCAGAGCCAAAACAACAAAGACGGACGTTGTTGTGTTTTTGTTTTGGTTTTTTGTCATTTCCTAAAAAATTGTTTGACGTTAATTTATGGGGCTTGACAAAATTGTCTGACAGTTTTGAAATTGGCGTGGTACAGGGCAACAATAAAAATAAAGTCGTACGAATTAGATATGCTACGCGGCACCATCTAAAGTTTTCTTGCACAGAGTTGGCGGAGCTGAATTAGGCGGGCGCGGCAGGGGCGGGGCTGAAGGAGCAGACACAAAAAGATAGAAAAAAGAAAACGTAAGAAAAGCGTGCAAGGAGCTTGTGCCGGAGCGCGGTCCTTACAGCAAGCCCCCTTCCAGCTATTAAATAAAGCCACACCGCATATTTAAGTCCATTAGCGCGAGGCAAGCCCAGGGGCTGGCGACGGACGGACGGAGAGGGGGAGGGAGGTGGGGGGAGA